TCCCCCCCCCCACCCCTCCCTCATTCGTCACTTCGTCGAAAGGAGCTCGTTTCGTTCGAGATACGGAACGAATCGAGAGAAGGTGGGAAATTCCAGCCGTGAGGTTCCACTACCATGTATCAGCGCAGTACAGTATTCGGAGATAGTTAGAGATCCAGATCCAGTAACCATCCACTGTGTATTGTACATCAAGGCGCGCTTGTCTTTTTGTCCTAGTTTTTTTTTTTTTTTTTTGGCAATCGGTCTAAGGTAGCAGAACTGCATGAAAAACTGCGTGTTGCGCACTGTAGGCGCGTTTTAGATGGGACTGAAAATGCAGTTACAGTGCAGTTTGCCCGAGTGGGTTTAATGTTTGTACGACTGCATGACACTACACGAATACGCGACCGACCCTATATAAACAACACAACAGTAATATTATTTTGCTCTAAATGGGCATTTCATAAAGAAATGTGTGTGTTTATTTCCTGATTTTTCTACGCCATCCCTAATTTCTCTCCACTTTTCTGTTACGATTGCAATAAACGCGACGCCCCGTCGGAGAGCATAGCACACGGCTGAGGTTCACCGACCGCGGAGGACCTCTTCCGGTTACGCCCTCAAGTGGCTCCAGCTCTCGGCTCCTGGAGCGGCAGGGCCGGGCAGGGGGGCTGCATGCGAGGCACTGCAAGGTCTTTGCCAAAGCCGGTTTCCTTCTCCCTCTTCTTCTTGTTGCTTATAATCTTCCCTCCTGTAATGCGTCTCTGCCGCACACCTGTGTAACCCCAGAGTGTGTGCGTTAGTGCTGGAGCAGCGAAGGCGACACAAGCCAGCGCCAGCACAGCCAGGCAATACGGCATGGCATACGAGAGGGGCGCCAAAGTCAACAAAACGCAACATTGATAGGTTACTTACACACGAGAAGTCGTACGGCGCAATTAGAATGTGTTAGTGCCGTTGCAGCGCTGGAGAGGAGGTACACCCAGAAAAATGAAAAGTTGTACCAACCATATCATAGTTACTTCAGAGACAACCATAAACTATGGTTGAAACAGAGATCCACCAGTTTGTGAAAACCGTTTTCTTGGTTGTTACACCTGTGCTTTTGGTGCCCTCAACCATATTTTATGGATGTTCCTGCAGTAACCAGTACGCTGGTTACTACAACATTTTATATTTTCCTGGGTGTAGTGAATGTAACTTGAGTGTGTGTATGTGTGTGTCAGAGAGAGAGAGAGAGGAGGGA